TTCTTGATTGGCCTCTAGCTGGATGATGATCTTGATTGGCCTCTGGCTTGATGATGATCTTGATCTGCCTCGGGCTTGATGATCTTGATTGACTAGGCCTTATGGACTTGTTGATCTTGATCGTTGATGATGATCTTGATCTTCTTTGGCTTATCCTTGATCTCCATAGGGCAGAGAGATTTTAGTCCTATTTGTAGGATAGGATGGAGGAATTTGATCAAGGACGGATGATTTTGATCCTTTGGAGGATGAATGATTTTGATCCTTTGGAGGATGAATGATTTTGATCCTTTGGAGGATGAAGGATTTTGATCATTTGGACGATGAATTGGATGATGAATGAACCCCTCTATTTATAGGGTCTTTCATGGGCCATAAGTGGGCTTGGACCCATCTAAATATAAGTCCATTGCCACGTGGCACAATCTTATTCAGTCGGCTTATGTCACTAAATACACATGGCAATGGACCAATTTATATGTCACATGTGGTACAATTTTATTAGATCAACTTATGTCATCATATGGTTATAACATAATTTAATTGATCGAATTCAAATGCCCAAAATAATATGTGACATTATTTAATTGACCTCAATTCAATGACATATAATTTTGTCATTATAATTACATGGCAATTTTTGATTCCCCGAAATTTATCAGTCAACACATATCATTTCGAAGGAAACTAATTTTGACAATAACAAAAGTAATTTTTATAATGTCTAAATCTCTCTCAAAGACACTCTTAATAATAATAAATAAATAAAAGAATAATACTAGTTTAAAATTTCAAAGTGTTCTTTCTATTTCACCTTAATTTTACCTTAATTTTTTAGGAATTATTTTTATCATTTTTGTTTCTCTAACTTTAATTTTGTTTTTCTCTCTAAGTTTTTTTTTTTTAACCCTTCCTAAGTTTTTAGTATTTCTTAAGTTTATTTCTCTCTCTAAAATTTTTATCTCTCAATCTCCAAATTTTTGTCTCTAAAATCATTTAGATTGACTATTTAGTTATATATATTAGGTTTTTTTCGCATAATTATTTAATAAATAGTGTTAAATGAGCTTTCAAATAAGTAGATGAGAGCTACAAAATCATACTTTTTGTCCTGCTTTAAAATTTTGATTATGACTTAAAGCATTGGAATATGTAGCTAGCACCGTAACGGTGTATAATTTTTCTATCTGGATGGTTCAACACAAYGATTAATGAGTTTTGCAAAAAATAAATAATAAATAAAAACAAAAAAAAGGTTTGAGATTGATGTACGAACTAATCTTTAGACCCTACCTAGTACAATGAATGCGGTTTACTAGCA